AATGTTTTCTTTTGACGATAAGAATACTGTGGCATGTTTGGTTCAGTAATTGTGGCTAACTAAGTTTAAGATTGAAAACCAGCCTTTCTCATTTGGACTGTGACACATATTTGTATTTTCAAAATAAATATTACTTTCCTATTTGCTAACTGGACTTTATGAATTTAAGTGCTGTACTAGATTAACAAGATCTGATCATTTTACAGTTGAAATGGCTCTATGGAACTGTCAGTTTACTGCTAACAGTTTCTTCCCTCGATCTTTCTTCCTTTTTAGTTAATTTTGTACTTCAGAAATTTAAATAAAATGTCAGTCATTATCTTCTGTATTTGTAATTTCTGTTATTTTATTGTTCCCTCTCCTTAAAAATGTTTTCCATTTCTGATATTTTCTCACACTCAGTAAACCAACCCCTTGCATCTTAGTGGCTTTATTGCCTTGAGTGATGAAAAATGATTTTAAAAAGGCGCATAACATTCACATTTGAACAGGTTCGCTTACAAAATAAAATGGGAGTTATCACTTTAGAATAATTTTCTTATTTTCTTATTTCTTTTCTTTTCTCCTTTCTTTTTCCCATTGTTTTTCCTTCCTTTTTCCTTTTGTTTTCTCCATTCTTTTCATATTCTGTCTATGTTTTATTGCTATTTCTATATTGATTTTTCATTATTTTTCTTTATTCAATTCTATTTACAATATTTTGCGCTTATATCCAATTTTTCTTTAGATTTTATCCTTTCTACTTTCTTTTTATACTGTCTTTATTTCCGTTTTTTTTTCTACCTTTTAAAATTACTTCCCTTTTTTCATTCTTTTTCTTCCTCAATTTATATCATTACTATATTCTTTCTTACTAATTTGAAAAAAAAATTCCATTATTTTGTTTTCGTTACATATTTTTTAAAGTTTCTTTCTTTCATTCTTTACTTCTTTCTTTCTTTCTTTCTTTACTTTTCTTTCTTTCTCTTCTCCATCTCCAAAATTTGTTAATATTACTTCCCTTTTTCATTCTCTTTCTTCCTCAGCTTATACTATTAATATATTCTTATTACTGATTTGAAAAAAAAAATGAACTATCATTTTTTTTTTCGTTATATATTTTTTTGAAGTTTCTTTCTTTATTTTTTTTTCTTCATCTCCAAAAGTTGTTTTCTAGCGTCGACATATCTTTCATTTTTGAAAATCGCCCACCTCTCGCCAACCGGTATTTCAAAGTCTTCTATCGGATTGTTAAAAGCCTGTCTATCTGCTTCCCTGTAATTATGACAAAGCGACCTTTTTTAATGCATTCGTTTCCCCCCATTTTTCAACCCCTTCAACCTCTTCACACACATATATTGTTAATTGTCGCTGTTCATAAAAGAAATGAAATTATTTAAAAATTATACAAAATAATTAAAAAAACAAAACAAAACATTGGTTTGTGTGTTTCTTGCTTTTTGCTTGTTTTTCTTTTGTACCACTAATTTCTTTCTTTCTACCTGATTTTTCTTCTTTCCTTTTTTATACCTTATTCTTTTTTTCTTAACACTTTGATGTCTTTCTTCTTACTAATGTATTTCCTTTGTGTGTTTTTTGTTTGTTTCTTTTTTTTCTTTCTTTCGTTGATTAATGTTTCTTTCTGGCTTTCTTATTTTATTCTTTCTTTTATCGTCTTCATTTCTTTTCTTTTCTTTTCTTTCTTTCTTCTCGCCTAATTTGTTAATTTCCTTCTTTTTCTCTCTTTTTTTTTCTTTCCTAATTTCTTTCTTTCTTTCTCTCTCTTTTTTTCCCCTAATTTATATATTTTACTGTTTTACTTTTATCCGTATTATTTCTTTCTTTTGTTAATTCATTTTTTTCTGGTTCCCTTATTTTATCCTTTATTCCTTTTTTTTTTCTCTCATTTCCCCTAATTTCTTAATTTTATTATTTTTCTTTATTTTCTTTCTTTCCTCTTTTCATTCTTTCTTTCTTTATTTCTTACTTTTTTTTCTTCTCTCATTTCCCCTAATTTCTTAATTTCATTATATTTCTTTATTTTTCTTTCTTTCCTCTTTTCATTCTTTCTCTCTGTTTATACCTTTAATTTTTTAATTACAGTTTTACTCTTTTCCATATCCTTTCTTTCTTTCTTTCTTTCTTTCTTTCTTTCTTTCTTTCTTTCTTTCCCGCTTCCTTTATTTTTGTTTCATAATTTTATTTTTGTTTCATATTTTTCTTTTTGTTTGCTTTGTTTTCTTTCTTTCTTTCTTTTTTTTCTTTCTTTCTTTTTTTTCTTTCTTTGTTTCATTTTGTTTCATATTTTTATTTCCCTCTTTCTTTCTTTCTTTCTTTCTTTCTTTCTTTCTTTCCCGCTTCCTTTATTTTTGTTTCATACTTTTCTTTTTGTTTCATATTTTTCTTTTTGTTTGCTTGGTTTTCTTTCTTTCTTTCTTTTTTCTTTCTTTGTTTCTTTTTGTTTCATATTTTTATTTCCCTCTTTGCCTCGTTTTTCTTTCTTTCTTTCTTTCTTTCTTTC